AGGCTGGCTTTCGTCCCCTTCCTTCTTAGGTGTATGCGATATATTTAATTTGGTTCAATATTTTGGAAAGGAAAAAGAACCTGTCCTGAGCGAGGGCAAGAGACCCTAGTAAACCCGCTTCGAGGTGCGGCGTTCCCTTTATGCGAAGATGATAGCGAGGAAACTGAGGTCATGGCTATGCGACAGGACACGATAGTGGTGTAGGACTCTACAAGCACCAGCAAGTGCATTGAAAGTCACAAATCAAACAGCAACAACAACAAACGCAAACTATCCGCAGCGCAAGTCAGAAAGTGTTGGTTTTCCTCAGGAGCTCCTGCAACACAGTGTCCGACACCTGAAGGCAGCCTGTTTCTCCACTAAGTTTGTCTAACCAATTTTGCCTAGTTGCAACCGCTTTACAGGGCGTGTGCAGATTCGGAAGACCGGAGTTTACCTTGACTGCAAGGCAGGGGAAGAGTACCATGCAACGTCATCGGCCTCTCAAGAGCAGCTGGAACAGCTTCAGGATGCAGCTTTAATATGGTTGATTGTGTTTCAATGTGAATTCTGGGTTGGATGTAGCGGTGTAGCAGCCTTTGCTTGACTGGCATCATTTGCATTGAAATCGAGGAGGAAGAGCTGGCCCAGCAGCTTCAGAACGGTGTGCCCCGGCAGCAGACTATTGTTGCACAATTGCACGATCGAAATCGATATTGTTCAGGAGGTTAGATAAACGGCTTGACATTGGAAGCTTAAACAGGCGTCAAGCTTGCAGTTCATGAACCTGAACTCAGCTTCGCACATGGAAAAGGAATTTGAAACAGGATGAACCAAGATCTTTGGAAGAACTCGTAGCACTCCAGGAACCTGCCCCCAGTTGCCTTGCTTGTAAGAATGTAATTAGTCTCAGACTGTTTGTTGTGTTGCATGTACTCCAGCAAAGCCAACAAGCTGCGTCAAGCAAGGGTATCCTTACAAACTAAGTCACCTGATTTTGCCTGCAAATTCTCAAGGTAAACTGATCGCCAGAAAGGTGCTGGCGCGCAGGCTCTCTGTAAATTCATTTGCAACGTTGCCCTCCACACCCTGCGACATCAAGTCAAGGTGGACGCTAGAAGCCTTGGTTTCACAGATCGTCTGTGGTTTGGAACGAGAGAAGGTTTTGCCCGCGAGAAAGGTAATTCCAACCCAAGGAACACCGGCACCGCAACACTGCAGTGATTTATTTTCAAGTTGCGTTTGTTTGCAAACATTCCATTCTCTTTGCAGCTTGGTGGTCAATTTTGTTTGCCTCAGATGGCTGGTGCCTTTTGTGGCACCATTCAGAGTTTCAAGAGGGGCTGTTTACCTTGTTTAACTGCGGGAGTACAAGCAAGGATTTGGCGACCATCTTGAAAACGGGAGCTGTTTCCATTGAGACCAAACGCAAGATCAGCTCAGCAGCAATGGCAAGAGTGGAGCGCAAAAGCTGTTAGCTTGACAAGAATGAACTACGCTGCATTCTTGAGGCGTTTCTATCTCCAGCAACCTCCAGCAAAGGTCATACCAATGTGGAGAGCGAAATGTTTGCCAGGTCTAGCCGCGACCATCACAATGATGCTAGCTAGAGCCTTAACCAGAAGGTTTGACCTCCGTAGAAAGACAGAGCCGTACATCAGGGCTTACCACACTTCACAAGTTGCTTGCTCATTGAACCGGCAAACTCTAAGCAACGCAGTGTCAAGCTCGCACAGACCCTTGCATGAAATTGCATTGGCTTCTCTCGCTTTCACTCTACAATCAACTTTTAGAATGTTTCCACCAAAGAACCTTTGCTGATATCTAAATATCTAAACTCAAGTTTGACTTGGCAAACGCAGGCAATCGGGGCAAATGTTGCTTCAATGCAACAGTTCCTCAAACAGCGATATGAGCTGCTGTCCGACCCAACGTGGGAGGGTGAAGGGTGACTTGGATTTGAGTTGCCATTGTTTGGCCACGTGGTCACAGAGCTTTATGGATTGCACATGGCCACATGTTCCAATCCGAGGCGCCCTGTAGATTGCGCGCAGTATTCGATGTTTTGTGACAAGAAGCTGAAGTGTGCAGAGGAGCGGTGCTTCAACAACAAGAGCGCCCATAAAAGCCACAAATTATCAAATTTGCTGGAATTGTATTGTTTGAAAAGTGCTCAACGCTACGGTAGTTGCACAAAAGAAATTTGGGGTGCTGCAATGTAGAACACTGCTTGATGTGTGTTCCACATGCAAAATGACAGGAACCATTAACAGCTGGTGAGAAAGAAGCCATGGATTCACAGATTGCTCAAGCTGGCAAGGCCACACTAGTTGAAATGACGAGGAATTGCATTCAAACGTGGCAAAGTGTCAAAGTGTTTACTCGTTACTCAGATGTTGTTGACATTATTTGAACAACAGCATTTGTCCTAGCAGTTTCAGATATGAACCAGCACATAATCTGAGATAATCAAATTGTGTTGCAATGGTGCACGTGGGTTAATTATATATTTATATACACATATATGTATATATAGATATGTTCACCTATTTATTGCGGGATGATTGAAGTTCGCAGGCCAACCTTCGAAGTTGGTGCCGTGCCTATCCCATGTATTCGACGTCTGTGCAAAAGTGCATTGTCGAAGGAAGTCCTGACGGATACGCTGAAGAGTCTTTTGGCTTCAGAAAATATCCAGCACTGGACACTGTTGAGATAGCCAACAAACTCTATCGAGGATGTTTCGATCACAGCAAAAGCTTAAGCTGACTGGTCCAGATCTTAGAGTTCGAGTCAGTTGTGTGTTGATTTGTGATATTGCAACGACAGTCCGACAGACATTTGAGCTCAAGAAAACAATTGGCCCCATGTACATGACCTTTTGGCCCTTTTGTATATTATTTGGAAACTCAAGGGTTTGTCAAGATTTTTTCCCACCTGCCAGGTAAGGGTTGTTAGATTTATCAGAGATGTCCCGCTCCTCCTCATCCTCCGTGTCCTCCTCAACCGTGAGCGCTAGATCTCAGTGGGCACTGCCGGGCCTCAACCGCGAGGGCTCGATCGTAGTGGGCGACGTCAACCACGCACTAGCCACCGCCGGGCCTCAACCCCGAGCACTAGATCGCAGTGGGAGCCGCCGGTCCTCAACCGCGACTGCCAGGTCGCAGTGGGCACCACCGGGCCTGAACCAGATAGAAAGAACGCCAGAAATAATGTCAGAAAATATGTCAGATAGAACGCAGCGTTATGTACCACATAAAATGCCAGCGTATATGCCAGACACAATGCCAGAATATGCCAAATAGAGTGCTAGAAATGCCAGATAGAATGCAAGAATGTATACTAGATAGAATGCCAGACAAAGTGCCAGAACATATGCCAGTTTGAATGATGGCCTATACATGTTCTCTATACTTATTTTGGCAAAATACACACTTCCTGGGTGATGTTGAAGCAATATGGCCGTTAGCCTTTGGCACCATGGTGGGGATCACTCAAGTAGTTTTTCAACCGCAGGTTTGTTTGTTTTTTCACCGCTTCACCGCCTGCCAGGTGAGGGTTGTTAGATTTTATGTCAGCTGCTTCTCCTCTCCTCTCCTCTCCTCTCCTCTCCTCTCCTCTCCTCTCCTCTCCTC